ACAGGTCTAACTCCAAACCCAAGATCTCAAACACACCAAGCTACTCCGTCCGTAACAAATTAAGGATTTGATTTCAATGCTAGCATAGAAATCAAGAATGTTTTTGATAAAACTGTTCCACCAACAAAAATTCTCACAGTCTCATCTCTATCCTTTCAACTTGTTGTTGTTAAGTACCGTGGACTCGGTTCCGACTCATAGTGACCCAGCACAGGGTTTCCGAGGCTGTACATCTTTATGGTAGCAGAACGGCTGGTAGTTTTGAACTGCTGACCTTGTGATTAGCAGCCTGATTCATAACCATTACGCTACCAGAGCTCCTATCCTTTTGACTAGACCGAGGTAAACCCAGAAAGCCTTGCTCCATACCCTGCAGGCTTAGGCTTAGAAGCCCACTACCGCTTTACAACACTCAGCACTTCCTGCTGGGGAAGGCGAAGACGCCAGGAAACTGCTCACTCTGACCCCGCTCAAGGCCTTGCTTATCAGTGGGGTTTCAGAAGGCTTTCTTTCGGAGCTGAAGACCTCCGGATTGGTCAGGATGGGGGCAGGCAAGATGGCGGGCAGTATTGCCGGTGGCCTCTATCTTCAATGAAGCTACCAAGCAAGAACTTGCTTGACTAGGACGAGAAATCAGGTGTCAGTGGTGATAGGTGTTTGTGGGTGTGAGTATGTATGTGTACACTTACACATACCAGGAGACTTTCCAAAAGGTCATGGAAAAATTCCATGATCTTTTCGTCCCATTTTTCTATCAAACTTTTGGAAGCTCCAATGAGCTGGATTGGCACAGTGGCCGCAGCAATGGGCCCAGCATAGCACTGACTGTGAGGTTGGTGCAGGGCCAGCCCATGTTTTGTTCTGTGACGCATAGGGTCACTGAGTGGGTACTGACTCGATAGCACCTAACAACATACACATGCATGAATGTATGTGTTATCCTTGTTAGCTGCCATCTGTCGAGTCAGCCCCCGACTCAGACTCGTGATGATCCCTTGCACAATAGCATAATTGTGGTCCATAAGGTTTGCGTGAACTGATTTTCAGAAGTACATCACCAGGCCTTTTTTCCTAGTGTGGCAGCTCAGCTGTAACCTGTTCAACATCACAACAGTACACAAGGCTATATCTGAAGTCCAGTAGCCAGGAACCAAACCTAAGGTCTCCACCCAGCATGGAAGGTGAGAATTCTACCAATGGGCCACTCTGAATGCATATACATGTGTGACAAACATCTCACTTCCCGCTAAGGGAGATTACACAAACACTGACAAGTTTCTGAGACTTGGGAGCCTGCAAAAACCTGTTAGCATCAAGTCAATTCCAAGTCATAGACCCTACAGAAAAGAACTGCCCGGTAGGGTTTCTAAGGCTGTAAACCTATAGCAGATTGTTACATCTTTCTCCTGCAGTGCTTCCAACCAAGAGACTGGTTTCAGCAGCCTAAAGTTTAGCCACTACACCACCATGGCTCCTTCCAGAAGAACCAAACCCACTGTCGCCGAGGCAATGCCAACTCACGGCAAGCCTGCAGGGAAGACTAGACCTGTCCTGAGGGTGCCCAAGGATTCAGTTGTGAGAAGCAGACGACCACAGCTTCCTCACACTGAGTTGCTGGTGGCTTTGAAAGGCCCTTCTTTCCACCACTGCACCCCAGGAACTGAGAGCCTGCCTTAAGAGGTCTAGATTTGGGGTTTCTTTTTTCTCTGGTATACAGGCAGGTTCGTTCCAGACCACCTCAATCAAACAAATCCCACAAATGAGTCAGATGGATTTTTTTGGTTTCGCAGTGTTTATGAAAGTTCTGTTTACACTATATTGTAGACTATGAAGTGTGCAATAGATAGCATTATGAAAAAAGCGTGAACTAGTATGGTGGTGGGGGTAGGGGTGTGCCATGGAGTCAGTTCCGATTCACAGCAACCCTGTACAGGTTTTTGAGGCTGTAAATCTTTCTGGGAGCAGGAATCCTCATCTTTCTCCTGCAGAACAGCTGGTAGTTTCGGACTGCTGACCTTGAGGTTAGCAACCCAACTCATAACCGCTACGCTCCGTGAGCTAGTATAAGAAAACCAAAACTCAACAGAGACATGAAGAAAGCAAACGCTGTTGGGAAAAATGGTGCCAATAGACTTGAGTGACACAAGGTTACCACAAACCTTCAATTCGTACAAAACAGTATCTGTACAGAGCAACAAGGTGAAGCGCAATAAAACGAGATGTGCCTACACTAAAGATGTCGGGCAGATCATGCTGTACACTCGTGTGCCAGGAGGACCAGTCCCTGCAGAAGGACATCATACTTGGGAAGTGGAGGGTCCGTGAAAAGGAGGTAGACCCCCAATGAGATGGACTGACACAGTGGCTGCCTACAGTGGGCTCGGACAATAGGAATGATTGTGAGAATGTCCAGGCTCAGGCAGTGTTTCCATAAGTTGATTACAGGATTGCTCTGAGCTGGAGCTGACTCCATGGCACTTCACAGCAGCAACCAGTATGTCGTCGTCCCCGCCCATAAAATACCAGCACCAACACCGCCAACCAGGGCAACCTACCAGGTAGAAGAGGCTGGCACTCTTTCAGGTGAGTGTCAAGTGGCTAAAGCCTGTATGCGGCCGGAATGGGGTGCTCAGTCACAGTGCAGGGGGAAGAAGGGTACATCCTTTGGAACACTTAATATCAGTCTGCCGACCACCCATTAAAAAGAAGCACTGTGGATGTGATGCGCAGGTGCAGCACAGATGGTTTGCAGTGACTACTAGCGATGAGGTTAGTGATTTGAAGCCACTTAGTGATACTTCAGAAGAAAGGCCCAGCAATCGGTTTCCATACAGATTACAACAAACACATAAACATACGGTGTTCAGTTCTGCTCTGCAAGACATGGGGTCACTGTGAGTCAGAACTGACACGTGACCAACCCGCAGCAAGCAGTTACTACTACCAGTCTTATGTGTACTCTCATCTGTTATGCCATCCCAGCTCACCAACCTCCCGGGCTTTTGTTTACCTAACAACAAAAAAAGTGATGCCCAGGGTCCTCAGAATGTCAAATGTCTGTCTTCTTGCCACATCCGGCCAGTGGCAAGTTCACTGGGCTAACATGGAGGTGCCTGGGAACCACGGAGGAAGGAGAATCTCCACAATAGGCTCATCAAGCAATTGTTCCACACAAAGGCCAAACTCAAAACAAGGGCAGAGGATGCTGAGGGACACAAAACTGCCACCAGGCCCTTCGCACCCCACTGTGCCCTCCCAAACCTCCTCAGGGTTGGTGAGCAATAGAAAGAGGACAGGAACCCCATAGCTACACAAACCTTTCTTATTGCCCTTGGCGCCTCCCCATGACATGTGGGCTTCTCTCTGCTCTTTTCTCGCCTCATCTTTTATCTCCATCAATGACACGGCATGATGGTCGCCATTCAAGAGCGGCAATCCTAACAGGAGTTAGGACTTCAACGTGTCTATTTTTGAGGAAGACAATCAGTCCACAACATTAGGAAAAATAGCATAAGGCTATCTTTTGCTACTTCAATTCAACTCAAGCAAGATTTATTTAATTCTACTATATAGACACGGTCAGTGTGGTATGACAGTCTAACCATGCAGGGCAAATCATGTGTGGAGACACAAAGCAAGGTGTCAGAGTTCTATGAGAGTTCCCTGAAGGGAGACATCCAAACGAAACAAACTAAAAATGAATACCTTCACAATTTAAAGTCTCTATGGGTCATGGGTCGGAATCAACTTGACGGCACTTAACAACAACAACAGTGGGGCATGGTAGTGGTATGGCGCTGTGACTACAAGATCAGTTTGAACCGCAAGGTTAGTGGTTCAAGCTCACCAGCCACTGCCTGGAAACCCTACAGAAGGCCGCTATGAGTTGAAACCCATTCCACAGCACGTAACAACAACAACAATGGGTCAAGGCAGACTTGTGATCTTGCTCCACTGAGTACACAAAAGAGAAGAAATGGAAAACAATGACTTTAAGCCTCTCCAGGACCACTTGTCATTTTCATGGAGTGCCACACCAGGTGTTAATAATAAAAGACAAGCAAGCTTGACTTGTATTTCTTAGTTACCTTATTTAAAAGGAGGGAGGGGGCGCCAGCAGAAATGGAACTGTCAGGATAATGCACCCAGAGAATGGCAGAATGAGCTAGCCACCAAATACAAGAGACAGCACCAAAGGAAACACATCCACACAAGCTAGCAGTTGCCAGAATCACTACAAGCACTTTCCTTCAATCTACAGACAAGTTTTCTTCTTTCTTTCATAACGGAGTCTCCCGGATTTGGCATAACCGAGAAGCTTTAAATACAGTACGTGTTGTATTCCTGGGGGAACCATTTAACACAGATGAGACTTTGCAAGGGGCCTATCTGCCTCCATTGGGCAAAACATGAGCTTGGAGACTAGTAGTGTAGCGCTTGTCACCAACCCTTTTTCTAAAGTCAAGGCAACTAGGCCCACGACTGTGAAACTCTAGAAGCTACTATCTTGGGCGTATCAACCTCAGTCACAGCTGAAAACAAACGCAGGGTTTTTAGAAACGATGGAATCCACTTCCAAGATGGGGTGGAGAACTCGTAGTGACAGGCACAGCCAATGTCCAAGGAGCCAGGGAGCCAACCAGGGGGGCTTTTCTCTCCAAGGCTCTCCATCTTTATGTCGGTCCATTCATCACAGCCCGGGCCAAGAAATTGTTCTGCTCCTTGGAGACGTTTACGGAGAGCAAGGGGGACTGGGAGGGGCGAGGGGGCGATGCCGGGAGTGTTGCAACACGAAATGCTGGAAAACGTGTGGCTGTTTACTACCAGAGCCGGGAGACGCTTCCCTGGGGGCCCAACCCAAGTCCCCTCTGCCATGGGCGCACCCCTGAAGGCAGCCCGAGTCCCTAAGACCTCCGGCCCGTTCCCTTAGCCCCCAGGACGCAGACTCCAGCCCCACGGCCCCCATGGCGCGGACACTCGGTCCGTCGGCCCCGAGTTACCTCGGAGGCCCGGGCTGTCGTCCCTGGCCCGAATCCTGCGGATCTTGACTGGGCGCCCGCTCAGCGTGGCCAGGACCAGTCGCTGGCGTAAGAAGTTGCAGCCTGCGTAGGCGAGGGAGTGCGTCGGGGCGGCCATGTGCACGCCCTCCGAGGCGCGGGCCAGGCGCGGTGGTCGGAACGGCGCGGACTCGCGGGGCGGCGGCAGCGGCTGAGGTGGCCCGGAATCCCTCCCGCACCCGCGTCCCCTAGCGCGTCCACGTGGTTTGGAACAGGAAGACAGAGAGACGAGACACCGGGTCAGAGGGGAGTGGGGCGGGGCGGCAACCGACCCCCGCCTCTCCCCCGGTCGGGCCGCGCCGCCATTGGCCCTTGAAGGATCTGGGCGGGGCCCGTGCTGGAGGTGGGCGGCGGCCGAGCCGCGCCGCTATTGGTCCGTGCTGGAGCTGGGCGGGACCTGAGCCCCGGCAACAGCGCTCGGCGGGAGGGAGCGCGGGAGACTGGCTGAGTCCGGGAGGTGAGTGCCTCTTGCGTGCCAGCTGTTGACTGAGCTGTGGTGGCATCCCGGGACGAAGCTGCTGTCATCTCCCCGCCTTTTGCTGGCATGCCAACCCTGTTGCATCCGTGGTCCTCTCTACCTCCGCTGTGACCTGCGCAGTCGTGCCACACCCTTCACGTGGTCCCATCACTTAACATTCACTGTAGGCCCCAGCGTGGTACAGGGCTTTGGCACTTGGCTAAGACGGATAGCTTAGCGACTCAACCTATGGAGCAGCCCCGCGTGGCCTGGCATCTGCTTCTATAGAGATTGTTGTTCTATAGTGGTTCCGAGTGGATTTCGACTCGGAGAGTCCTCCAAGTGACAGAGTAGAGCTGCCCCACCCAGCTTCCTAGGCTATAAATCTTTACAGGATCAACAGGTCTTTTTTCCCATGGAGCTACTGGGTGGGCTAAAACTACCAAGCTATTGAGTAGCAACTGCATGCTTAACCATTGCCCACCAAGGCTTCTTGTTGCTGTTGTCTTGTTATGTTAAGATGATTCCCACTCACAGCAACCCAGAATGAGAAGCTGGTGGGTTTGAACCACCGACCTTGTGCCCACTGCTTATCCCAGAGTACCACTAGGACTCCTTTTGCACTACCTTGTTTTTGTTAAGTGCTGTCAGGTCTGTCCTAACTTATAGCCACACACTATAGGGTTTCTCAGGAATCCCGGTGTGGAACTGTAGGATAAGAACTGGACTGCTAACCACAAGGTCAGTGGTTTAAACCCACCAACCACTCCCTGGAAATGCTATACAGGTCGTTATGAGTCCGAAATGACTCGACAGCACTTAACAATGGTAGGGTTTTGCATTATCAGGAGAGATCAATGCATCATGCTTGGTAAAGTGGAGGGTCAACGAAAAAGAGAGAGACCTCAATGAGATGGATTGGCACAGTGGCAGCAGCAATGGGTTCAAAGGTAACAATTGTGAGAACGTTGCAGGACTGGGTAATGTTTCCTTCCTTTGTGCACGGAGGCACTGTGAGGTCTGTTAGTCAGAGCTGACTCCAAGGCATCTAATAACAACAGATCGCCAGTCTTTGTCCCGAGGAGCTGCTGGTGGGTCCAACTTTTGGTTTACAGCCAAGCACATAACCACTGGGTCATCAGTCAAAAAACACTACTTGCACTGAAATGCTTGCCACAGAGTCTTCTTTGAGGAGACCTCAAAGTAAGTTCTGAGTTGTAAATTTTGAGACGTGAGGGCCACAGAAATGAAGGGACCTGCTTAAAATGACATGTTAGTACGTGGCAAAACCACAAGTAGAAACTCCATCTGTATCTCTCTGTCTTAGGACATGTATCTTTGCAACCCTGAACTTCCAGCAAAAAGTCTGAATACCACGAAGCTGAGTGGAAAAAGCCAGATGTAAAAGACCAACATTGTACCATTCCATTTATATATGTTCTGTCCAATTAGGGAAATCTACAGAGACAGAAAGCAAAAGATTAGTGGGCATTGAGAGGTTCAGTGTTTCTTTAGGGGGTGATGGAAATGCTGTGGATTGTACCCATGCATGTAAAGATGTTTAAAGTGCTAAATTGTTGTCACCTGAGTTTTATCTCAATAAAAATAGACCAACTTGAAGATTAAAAACATCAAATAAGGAATTCACTATTTAGCCTAATTCTTAGAACATAATAAATGCTGGATCAATATTTGTTTAATGAAGCCATGCAGTCCTGAGGGAGAAAGACATTACATTGGGGGAAGCTGCACTAGTTCCAAGTGTGACATTTGACACCACCACAGGGATACTGGAACAGACTTGTATTCATGGGGCATTCTATTACATTTTTTTTCAATTACGACAATTTGGGAGGCCTGCTGTGGTGCTGTAGGATAAGCACTGGGCTGCTTACCACAAGGTTGGTGGTTCAAGCCCATCAGTTGATCCTTGGAAACCCTAAACACTGTGAGTCGGAACTGATTTGATGGCACTTAACTACAGCAACAAAATATACTTTAGGCTAAGAGGTGCTAAAGGAGCTCTGGTAGCATAGTGGTTACGAATCGGGCTGCTAACTGCAAGGTCAGCAGTTTGAAACTACCGTCTGTTCCGCGGGAGAAAGATGAGGCTTTCTGCTCCCGTAAAGATTTACAGCCTTGGAAACTCTGTACAGGGTCGCTACGAGTTGGAACCGACTCCGCGGCACATAACAACAACAACGAGAGCTGCGAGGTTATTCCCAAGAAGGAGCAGGGGTTTGACTGTCAGAATTGTTTGCAATGATTCCTTCATACAGCTGACAACCTTGAAAATAGAATTTGCTTGTGTCGTTGTAATACATGTTCCTGGTGACTTGGAAGATACAGTGTTGTTTTTTCCTTTGCTTGTTTCACATTTTAAGAGCCTTTTGAGTATATTCTAATATTGTTGCTTTATTTAAAGAAAACCATATCAGCAAAGTCAGGGTGTCCGATATAAATAACAGAGTAATGATGTTCTTCATTGTACTGATCATTACCTAATCATTTAAACTATGGTACTGTTATTGTTGAGTGTTCTTGAGTCCCATCAGACTCCTAACAACTTGATAGGACAGAGGACAGCTATCCCAGAGGGTTTCCAGGGCTGGCATCTTTATGAAAGCAGACTGCCACATCTTTCTCCCATGGAGCAGCTGATGGCTCAGTTTCTGGGCATGACTTTTCTGTTTTGTGCTACCCAGGGAGACAAGATGTAGTACCAATAATACAGTTCCTGCAAGCTCATGCTAACCACACGTTTCATCAGAAGACCAATAACTATTCTATTGGTTAAGGAGAGAAGGAGATCTTTTTGGAATCCTTAAATGCTTGTTGTTGTAGTTAAGTACCATCAAGTTGATTCCAACTTATAACGACCCTGTATAGGGCTTCCGAGGAGTTGCTAGTGAGTTTGAACCACTGACCTTATGGTTTGACTCAACCTTTTGGTCCAGGTTTATCTTACCTATGAATTCAGGTAGATAATTCTTTTTCTTGTCAGATGCCTTCTTATGTTGACATTGACATGTTCTTACTTGGTTGGGGTTTGTTGTTGTTTTTAACGTTGTTATTGTATAACAATAAAAGAACAAGAGTTTTGCACTCATCCTATTGTATTTTATGTCCTTGCAATGAATACAATCCCTTCCATGCATCACCATTGAACAGTATTTGCTTCTATTCCCTCTGGGTTTTGTTTTGTTGTTTTTTTGATGTACACAAAAACACTCAGGAATATATAATCATTTAAACAACCAAAGGGCACATTCTGCAAGCCTGCCTCCTGGCCGCCAGCACACAGCCTTTCTCTTTCCATGAATCTAGCACCCTCAGCTGCTCTCTCTCTCTCTCTCTCCATGTCCTCATCTCTGCATCCATCTCTGGTGTCACTGTTTCTCTGGATAGGGTCCCACAATCCACTCATGCTCTTCTCCATTGATGGTCCTAGGGTCCTCTGTTCCTAGACTGTAAGATTAACTATTCCCGTTTTTGTTACAAAACTTCTACTTTTATAGTTGTGACAACCACAACTAGTCATGATAACAATTACTTACTATTGAGTCATAATACTCTTATCCCCATCTTCTTTCACCAGAACCATCTAGACGAGATGAAAACTACTCAATGGGGATTCTACCTTCCCCCACACTCTGAAACTAAACTCCCTCTTGAAAACTTGTAAGCCAGTCACTTCGTGCCTTATAGCCTCACCCCCAGCCCCCCAGTTTAGGTAGCCAATGTCTAAGTTGCCTATCTCTCTCAAACCCGTGTACAGAGGGGATATGTTTGATCCTTGATGTGAAGACTCCTTCCTTCTCGGTTGGTATTTTGAGCTACTACATCCCTAAGTATAGATCAAGTTCCTCAAATTGTAGCAATTTACACTTGTTTCCTTTATCAAATTTCTTTATCTTCCTCTAGTTAAGTTCTGATCCTCAAGCCATCAAAGCTAGGTCAAGTGGGTACTATCTGCAAATTTAGCCATTTTTACGCATCTCCCCTCACTTCATATGAGCTGGATGTTTCACTCTCTAGCCCTCTATGGCTATGTCCTTGTCCATGGGCTCAGGTGTCCCCAGGTTTCATCACACTTCAGACCAGCCAGCCCTTCCTCTTCTCTCTCTTACCTCCAAGTCAATGGGAGTCTATGGAACATGGTTGAACTCAGCCCGTTTCTTCATTGCTGCCTTTCCCCACTTCCACTCACAAGTAGACCAACATGGTCGTCAGCAAGCTTACATGCCTGCTCGTGTGTTTCTTTTGAGTTTCAGTCTTGGAGGGGGGTTTGTCCTGAAGGGACTTATTTGCATTGATGGCTCCCTGGCGAACAACTTGCTTGTTCTTGTAGTAGCCAATCAGACTGCCTTTTTTTGTTTTTGATTTTTCCTGCTGATCTTTCTTTCAAGAATTATCTTCTGTTCCTCTAGCTGCTCCAGGCTGGTCTGCATGTCCTTTCAAGTAGGAATAATGGATGGGGTTTTTTTAAAGTTAAATAATGCTTTGACACCATCCCATATGTCATGATTAATGTCCAAATTTACTAGTGCAGGACACTGCTCCAGCAAAAGCTACAACAGATTTGGCTACTGTTGCTATTGTGGTTAGGGAGCTCTGTTGGG